CAATTCAAAGCAACTTGTTGGGTTTTTTTCTGACCAGCATTGACTGCAGTCACAGGCTTAGCACTCTGTACTCACTCCTGCTCTTGAGCACCAGTGACAAGTAACTTCCTACTAAGGCAAGACCAAGAGGTGAAAAGAGCACATACAAATACCATCTTGCTTGCAGCAAATGGGTCTGATAATCAGATCACCTGTACCTTTAAATGTACAATATTTTTGGCATTTCTTCAAGTGACGTAGTATATGTTTCAATGACTGAGCGAACACTCAGACATCTATGAATTGCAGTTATTGTTGGAGTCTTTGCCGGCAAAGAGAGCAAACAGAGCATTCATCATCCAATTCCTGTAACCCTATTTGGTTTTGAGGTGGATGGGAATATTGCCATAGAGCAATTAGCCCAATGTCGCTATTTTAATTTGGACGTGGCTTATTTTCTTTTCATTGACATCCATCGTGTTATAAAATAGAGGACATTTTGGTTGGACTAGATGATCTCTAGAGGTCCCTTCCAACCCCTACCAATCTGTGAGTCTACTGTTGCAAATGCTATTTAGCTACACGTTTACTTGGAGGGAGGATTTATGCTTTCTCCATTTCTAACTTTATTTCAAAGTGCACAAACAAGATTTCCCTGCAAGTCTGCTGCAACCAGATTTCTTTCTAGTTTTCCTGTACTCCAATTTGAAAGGCTATTATGATTTTCCCCTATTTTTGTGCTGTCATTTTGGATAAACCACCTGCAAAGACCAGCAGTGTCATTGGGGATGAATCAGTCTGTAAGGGGCAATGCCAGGCTGAATCACCTCACCCTCACCCAAAATTCTAGTTAACTGCAGTTTCCTTGATGCTTGCCTCCTGATAGACGGATGTGAGGAAAGATCTGTGCACTTTTTTTCCTTTAATTCAATATGTGGTATTGCCAAACCTCCATTTGTCATCATTGATCAGTGAGATTCGCAACGTTCAACAACTCAGACAATTTTTCTGTGAAGCTCCTTCTGCTGGCTAGGATTTGTTGGGTGCTTATTTAGAAACCCTAATAATTTTGTCTGAACGCAGCAAGTACAATCTGCTTTCCCTAGAAAAACTATTTACAACACAGAAGACCTAGAAAATTTTTTTCCATCATTTTTAAATGTAACACTGTGCCAGCATCAAATCCTCCAGTTCAACATTTTTCACTTGAACCTGGGATAATCTTTCCAGAAAATTCATCATTATGCCAGTAATCATTTATTTTCAAAAAATAAAAATACATATATATACACACTGAGGTACATGACTTCTACTCATAATTTTTTTACTAAATCATGATGTCAGAGCAAAGCAAAACTATTTGAAACTCTACTAAAAGGAAGCCTTGGAGACCGCAGAGATCTGTTCTTGTTCCTCCTTTAATCCTTGGGATGTGTTCCCCTGAACCAGGTGGGAGCAGAACAGCATGTGGTGTAACTACAGTGTGTGGGTGCGGTTAATTCACATCCTCCCAAATGATGCTGTATTACCTCTTCCTCCCACAGAAACAACATTATTGAACTGACTGAGGAGAAAGAAGGTAGAAAAAGCCTCTCGTACATTCCTTCCTCACAGGGAGATAAATCATGGAAGCAGGACTACTTAGAGAAGTGATGTGGAGATTGCTGCCTGGCAGTTTCCACGTGTGTGTGTGTTGGGCAAGGGGAGGACTTTACTAGATTCTTAGCAAGCATAGCCCCCAAATGTACTTCAGAAAGGTTTGTGAAACCTTTCTTGGCTCAGAGATTTAGGTTGGTTTCTTAAGCAATGTGATTCTCTTGTCCTTGGAGATCCTCCCTCATCTTTTCCTGCTTCAACAAAACAGAGATAGGGAAGTACAAAAACCCCATTAGTGCCTCATTGAGGGAAACACTGTAGAGTGAGTTCAGACCTCAAACCCCATTGACCTGACAGGGAAGAGATGCTTTCCTTCTTCCTGCATCCCTGGTAAAGATCGTATCCGTTCAGATAACAATACAGTTAATATGTCTTGTGTATTGCAAATGCTTTCAGTGGCATGTTTAATAAAATTTTATTTCTATAAAGCATAGGACTTGACTATAATTAAACTGAGCCATCCATAAAGATACCAGTAGATAATTTAGTTGCAGAGAGCTGTTTTAAAGCAAGTAGGGATTTGTTTTCAGTAGGGAAAAAAGATTTAGACATGTTCTGCTAAAAATACAAGTTTTACTGCTGTTTGTTCTTTGTGAATAGGGTTGTTTGAGTACCTTTTATGTTTTATTCAAGCCTCCAATAATTATCAAAGGATTTAATTTTAAAATGTTTAGCAATTCAATGAAGTACAGAACTAACACAGTTACTTAGTTTCTTTTAAAAATATTTTCTCTGTGAAAGCTACCTTGCCTTCCTGTGGCTCAGGGTATTACAATTCTCATTTTGCAAGGGGAAAACTGAGTTTATGTGCAAGCTTCAAATAATTGGTTTTCTTTGGGTGACAATATAGGCTTTCATTACAAAGCCCAGATTTTTCAGAGTACTGAAGCACAGCTGGTGTTCTTTGAATGGGGGAAGTTGATGTTTCAAATTCTTGGAACTTTCAGAACGTTTTGAGATTGATCATGCGGTTTTTTTCATGGTAAACTGGATTGTTCAGAGGAATGCTATTAATGAGAAAGCAAGCCTGTCATCTCTCCAAGTGTGGTGTGACCTACACAGTAAGGATCAGACACAACCTGATGACAATTTACTGGTTTTTATACATATACATACCCACAAACATCACATTATATATCTTCCCTAGCATATCTAATGAAATGTGAACTCTTTTGGCTGAGAAGCGACAGAAGAAAAGCATATCCCTACACTTCCTCGGAGACAGACCAGTGCAGAGTTCAGAGATTAATAATCTTTTCTCATCAAGAAGGAAATTCCAAAGCTGCTCTTGTGCATAGATAATAAATTGCCCAACAGCTTCATTTAAGACCTGTTCTTCCACAAGCCTCAGTTTTGACACAAAATGCAATTCTTCTAATACACAAATTTCTGCTTCATAAATAAAAAATAATGCTTTGAGTTTTGATTAACACTGAATGGCAAAATAATGCTGCAAGAATAGATAAATGCCTGCCTAGACAGATGGACAACTGTGCTGAATCACAGGATGAACTTCTGAGTGGTCTTCAGGGTCAGAGCCAGAAACTCCTTGTATTGATAATTATAGAAGATTCATCCGTGATGGAAATGAACTCTACGGCTGAGCTAAGAATAAAGCCAAATACTAAGACCTTAAAGATTTAAATTGTGACTAATACCAATTAAAATTTGAGCACTCAGACAGGTGTTGAGAATCAAGCTTGTTGACAGCAAACTGTCTACAATGGTTGCCTCTCTCTAGTATACTCTGGCCTCCTACAAGATTCCTTTCATTCTTTGTCTCTTTGATGTTCCATCCCTATTTTTGAGCTATTTCTGACATTTAAATAATTATTCTTGGGCTGATATTTGCCTCTGAGTTTACGTTGACGTGCTGGTGGAAAATTCCATAAGAAAGCAAATTTCATTACCAGTGACAGAACAGTTAAATATGGACAGTACAGAAGTTATCACAAGTCATAATGAAAAGAATAATACTGATTTTGCAATTGTGGGTGTTAGACAAGGACTTCAGTATCTCTGTAAAATTAACTCATTAAGTATCATGCTATATTCTGAGATACATATTTGGAAAACAACATCTCTATAAATGTTATCTTCTGTAGCAAGGTTGCTAGCAGTGTTTGAACTCCTCTCTCTATGGCTTTTCCCTGCCTATCGTTTCTACTGTGAGACAGGCAGGCATTGGTGAGATATCTGAAAAGGTGCTCAACAGTCTTAGACTTGAAAGAGCGAGCCCACTGAAGTTCATGAGCTTGCAATTGCTAGTGTAATGCTTTTCGCTCTGGGGTTCATTCTGCATCCTAAACCATATTACACTGAAGATACAGAATGATTGAAAATAGTAACTTATCCATGGGAGCATGCACTGAATGACAGCCATCTGATGTGACCATTATTTGCTTGCAGCTCTTACTTGAGGTTACAGTATTCCCTTTTTCCATAGTAATGTACCTGGCCTCAATTCAAGAAATAAGAAAAAATCCAGAGCAACGGCAATAAAATATCCAATTTTTTTTCCCAAAGAAAGCCTTAGTAAGTGATGATCTAAATAAATGAAGTATGATAAATACGATAATAAAAACACAAACTCCCTGTCAAGCATATCACCTGGCCACATAAAGAACCTGTCAGACAGAGCTGAAAAAAAACTTGTGAGAATCAGTACTAGAATTTAGGCAAAAGATAGAATATCTGATAAAAGTTTAAAATTGTAAGAAATTATTTGCCATTTTAAAGGGGCTTTGCTTTCCTGATTTTATTAATTTATTATGGAGCCAATACATTTTCTGGTAGTGTGAAATCAAGAAAAGCTTTCTTTTCTATATAATAGGGGACTTTCAAAAATACTTTACTTTTTCCTAAGAATTTTGCTCAACTACTTGAAAAAATCATACACACATACATTTCACAAAAATTGGTTTCAGACAATTCAGAAGTTGCTGCAAACTTTTCACTTGCAAATGAAATAGTTAATTATACTAATCTCTGAAAAGAAATGACAATAAAGTAAACACATTTTTGGCCTTTATGCTGTCATTTTTTTCAACCCTCCAACGGCTGAAAAAGTAATATGCATTACTAGTTTTACTTTCTGCTTTGAAACTTCATTCTCTGAGAGCAAATCAATTTTACTGTAGCTTCTGTTCCTGACAAGGTATTAAAAAGAGGCAAAATGGTTTACAAAATTAGTTTAGTTTTCAGTCAGAATTAAAATGAGTCATACCTAAAGCAATGGACAGCACACAGAAAAATAGAAAGGTTCCTATCAAGAAGGCTTGGGGTGAGAAATCATGTTACATGTTGATGTTTAGCCAAGTAGTAAGCAGTATCTGATTATCAAATTTTATTTATTTTTTTCATAGTTTGATGCAGACAGAGATGAAGAAGAAGTGTTCTTTGACATAAGCTTGGCAGTTGACAACAAACTATTTGCAAACAAAGAGGCTGCAGCAGGTGAGTTAATATGAGATTTGAATAACCACATTTTCTATACTGCATTTGACATTGATGGGATGCCTTTTTCATATTCTTAAGTATGCATGTATGTACTGTAGCAGTCTTGACTGACCTCAAATATTTGCACAACCTAGGGCAAAAAAAATTAAAAATCTCTTTACACTTGGAAACTTTATACAACCCACCTAACATCTTGTTTATCTACAAGCTCACCTTAAAATACTATGGATAGTCCACTAAACAACTATATCATTAATACAAAAACTTCCTAAGTTGATTGATTCCAGTTGTCAGCTATCTGTTTCAGTTCCAGATCATATGATACCTCAGTGTCACGAGAAAACTAGTCCTATGAGATTAATGATCATCCTCCCTAGTAATTGGTACAAATTCTGAAACTGTGTGTGAATGTCAGGTGTTTGGGGTTTTTTATTTATTTATATGTTTATTGTTTGTGCTTATTGAGGCTTGAATGTCTTCAAAGAAAAAGCCTTTGAGGGACAAAGGGCTGCAAAAAAATTGAAGCTAAAAATCAAAGCACTGAGAATCCATAACATCTGTCAGAAATATTTTGCTTGAGGGGAACAAGAAAGTGTTCCTTGGTAGCTTCACAACTTTTTCCTTTTACAGATGGCATATCTGGCTGCCTTCCAAGTAGACCATGAGGGTTATATAGGTAGATGAGGTCATAAATGTCTTGTGCAACAGCACACAGAAAGAAAAAGAAAATTCTAGGTGATATATTTCCCTGTAAAATTTACTAGCTTTATTAAAACAAAGATTAGAGAAAATCATGTATCTGATCACTCCTCTGTTTAAGGGAAAACTCATATGCCATAATTTGGCAGATCGGATAGCTTCAGTTATTTGTAATGGTGAACAATCATCTGGCAAGGAAGGAGGAATTGATGAAACACAATGAAGTCTAGTAGTAGCAATACATCTATTATCTGTTTTTGACAGAGAGGGGATTACTTTTTTCTACTAGCAAGACATTTGTAAATAACAGTGCTTCAGACAGAAAGATTAGGTTATATTTTCAAGATTTGAAAGGGATTCCAAGCTAGTTAGCCTACAACCCCCACCCATAAGGCTGTTTTTTATAATGTTCAAAATGCGATAAAGGTGAATTATCAAGGCAGGGGATGGGGTTGAGAATAATAAGTGGTCAGCTTTGAGATAAGCTAGTAGTCTTTAAGTGGCACGCGTACCTGTTTTGTGCTTAGCCATATTCCTAGAGGCAAGAGATTGATTCCAAACCTAAAATGGCATTCCCACTGTATAGCATTGTATTGATAATTACCTGTGGATTCCCTAATTAAATGAGCTAAGTACCAAATAGCAAGAAGAACAAAGAAGTGGCATAAAGGTGCTAGCTCTGACAAACAGATTGACAAAAGCTAAACAGTTGCACGAATTGGTTGTGATTCTGGATGAGTTCCAGTCCGTTCCTTGAAAGTGTGATCACCTTAATAAATTCCTCACCAAAATAATTGGAGAGCTATGAGCTTTATCAGAAGCCATGCCACAATCATCTAATTGGTGCCTAACCTGAGCACCGGTAATAGTAAGGAGATTCAAAGTAAGATTTCTAGAGCTCCAGTGAGACCAGATATTTAATTTCTAGAGGTCGCAATTCCAACATTGCCTTGATCTCACTTTTTGTCTTTTAATCTTATTAGTGATATTGCAATATATTTTGGTTCTTGGTGGCTAACGTAAACATAGTATTTCTAATATTTTCATGCCTCCACATCAATTTAGTTCATATGCTATGCCTGTAAAATCCAGTTACAATCAACTGTGTAACAATTATGCGGAAAGAAAACAACTGAATATTTTTATAGATTAAAATACAATTTTCTCATTGTTGCCTTCTATGACATATTAAGACTGTTGCTAAGAGCAACAACCTGTCATGAAACTCAACAGTGTAAAGTTGCAATAAAATTTGTATTAGAAGCATTTTACTGAGAGCAAAATTAAAATGTAATCATTCTAATGCTAATCAGTCCTTCAGTAAATTATTTCTATTATATTCCACTTGAAATTTATCTTCTAAGCATTTGTCTTGCCCAAGTGCTTATATGCAATATGCATTGAGTTATTAAATGGTGCTTCAGAGAATGTTCCATAACATAAGAAGACATTTTTATTTTATTGAGCTTAAACATGCTATTAAGAGAAGCAACGTGCTTCACAGGGTAGTCTCAGATTACTTTTATGACAGTCAGTGCTGAACAGTGCAAATACTATAGTTAAAATATGTGTATAGGCATATTTGAGACAATGAACCATATTGAACAGAATTGCTACCGGGATTTGAAATAAATAACAGATTTAAGCAAGGATTGGAAATACATTAGCTGATTTGCCAAAACACAAATGGTCCAAGGAGCAGACTTAATTAACTCACATGATGGGGTATAGCTACCTTGTAATGGGAAGTTAAATCAACTGCAGATAAATTTAGACAGATCAGTACAATTTAGTTTCATTGTATAAATGAATTTAGTGAACCATGAAAAAGCAATGCTTGACATTTGCATTCATGAAAACTTAAGGACGACCACACTTTCAATGAAAGTGACAGGCACCCAGGCTCAGAACACTGAAATGTTTTATAGGACCAGAGACATTTACGGCCACCATGCCCCTGGGTTCTGGGGTGCATTTCTGTGGTAGGAATCACACACCTACCTAGTGAGACTAATCTTTATGAATGATGCCTTCAGTGTCAAGATACAAAGCATAGTCAAAAATAGGGAATACATTCTTGCTGATTTACTGTTTCTTTTTTTCAGCAGCCTGCTCCTCCCTGGAGAGCTGATTATTCAGTTAACAGGGATTTAATAAAAACTTCCAACTGATTTATTTTTTAATTGTGCAGTACTGTATCTAATAAAATCCTCTCTTTTTTCCTCTAAGGAAAACACAAAGCACATGAAAATGACCAGGTTTCCCTTACCTCAACTTCATGCGTGCACTGAAATTGAGGAAGCATATTTTAAGCCACAAGAGTACCTTTTCAGATCAAGTGCTTGCAAGGTGTTTCTCCATGGCAGTAGAGCTTTTCATGCATTTTCTTAATTTAACTGTTGAATTTCCCCTTTTAAAATTGATACAGTTAGATCATTTGCAATAGATTCATACAAGCACACAAAGGCTCTAAGTTAACCAAGAGCTGAGATTATCTGGTGTAATGGGGCATGCCTTTGAAAGGAATTAGGACAATTCAGACTATAAGACTTTCCTCCTAATGGTAAACAAGTATTAATTTTTCTTATAGCCTAGTTCTCAGTGTACCAACTTATCAAAGGAAAAACAATGCCACTCAGAAAGGGCAGTGAAACTTATGATCAGCTGGTTTGTTGTCAGAGCAGGAGATGTGCAGCCTGCAGACTCATTGAAAGCAGCAGGGCATGTTTGCTTCCAAATGCCTTACCCAATCCTCCTCTTTTCCTTAAGCCAATGTTTCATGTTTCTCCTTTGATAGCTGAACATTGCTACAAGTTTTACATAAAACGTTGCTGATTGAAACCTGAGCTCAGAAAACCTGAGCTGAGTTTTGAATTATCCACTCTAACGCTCTCCCTTAGCTTTAGCCTGGTCAGTAGCTTTGCCTGCCACCAGGATTTCTGACTCCCAGTACCTTGCAAAGTGGCTATCTGGTATGGTACGCTTCTGCTGCCATGTGTACTAGCCATTAATTAGTGACCCTGTTGACCTCCCCTAGAAGACCTGTTTTAGCAAGTTTTAGTCCAAAGTCAGCAAAACATACTCCCTCCCAGCAACAAACTGAGCTAGAGGATAGCAAACTACTCGTGCTTATTCATACTGCACCAGGGATATCACAAGTACTCTTGTATATCCCCTCATTATTTTGTCCTGGGAGTAGCCATTTGCTTCAATTAATTTCTGGTAGGTGTGTCTTTAGGTGATTTGAGAAGGGTAGGAAAGTCTCTATACTGTTCAGTGATAGATGGTTACAGGTTTTGTTAGTTTTCATTGAACCAAGGAAGAAAAGACACGTATTTTCTATTTTCCTGGCCTGCCTTGAATATACCCTGGAAAGGAGCTATGCTTCGCCAAGGGAACTGGTGTCCTAGTTCAAGAAAAAAGGCCTTAAGATGCTTGACCATATTAAAATTGTATAACCATTATGGCTTTTATCACTTAAGATACATTATGCATGAGTATTCATTTTCAGCCTGACCTTTGCATTTACGTTTGCAGCACCATATTTCATATTAATGTTTCTAGCCAAGGATGCATACTGCTCTTGATAGTTAAGTGACAGTTAATCAAATACTTGCACACAAGTGCCTGTAAAAGTGATTGATGTGTCAAGGTAGGCCAGTGCTGGTGACGACTGAGGCTTGGTTAAATTATATTATTAACAATGACACAACGTTAAGAATGAGACGTTAGGTGTGTAAAATAAATCAAAAAAGTAAGATTCTCTCAGCAGTTGTAAATCAATTTGGTTGCATATATCTTTTACAGACAGGTGTTTTCAAAAGACTGTAAAGCATATGTGCCGGAGAACATGCTGCATATATAATGTGACATTTTAGGGTAGCAAGAGTATAATCTCTCTGTTATTTTTTTTATAGCAATCTGATAAAGTATACATGAACATTAGGGGTGAAAAAAACCAAAGCCACCAGCAGATGGTAGACCCAAGTCTTCACTGGTATCTCCAAACAGTTGCATCAAAGATAAATTTGGAAGCAATTGTAATATGGATTGCAAATTAAGACACCCCGGAATCATCATCTGTACCAAGCAGTTATGGTTTTAGTCATAATGACATCCAGTTCCTCTCCTCTGCTTTCTCTCTTAGTGATGTTTAGTTCACCACCTACATAGATTATTACTATGTAAACTTTAAAAGCAAACAAAAGCAGATAATACGTAAATGCATCTGGCACAAATTGAACTGCAAAATCTGTTATTGATAGTGCTTGTTACAGAAAGCCACCCATACAAACATCTCTAATAGTGAGAAAACAACTCGAGGTCAGCAATAGTCTTAAAACTATGTATCCTCAATGCCAGTGCTTGCAGGAGTATCATACTAGGCAGAAACACCTGTAACCCAGGTAGAGATACCTGTAACCCAGGAGAAAGTGAGTTGTTTTCTTTCTCATCAGTGATCTAGTCTGACTAGGGACATGAGTGCACAAAACAAAGCATATCTTGTACTTCCCCTGGTGTTTCCTGTTCCTGCTCCCCAGATGAAGACAGTTATTGGACTCACCCGTAGCTACCAGCTGGTTACAATTTCTAGATCTCTGTGTGTCATTACACATTATTCTCATTTTAACAATGGTGTGAAAAATACTCCTGTAGTTACACGCATATTGACATTTTAACATGTGCTGAATATGTGCAGGATTTGGTTTAGGGCTGCACCATCTGGAGGGCACAGGAGACTGTTTTCTTCCTCATTGCCCAGGAGTGAGATAATCTGAATGGGATGATCATGCCACAATATATGATGTCCATGCTATACCCTTCCTGTGTTAGACAGAAATATGATTAGTGGTTTATCCTCTCATTCTGGTTTAGCAATGACTATCCCCCTACATGACTTCTTGAAATACCAAGCCAAATTTCTGTTATCCTGCACCTTCAATAGTTCAGCTGAAGCTAAACTGTAAAGATCAGCCAGGTCAAGGCTTCTCAGCAACTGAATTTTGTCATCCCAAGTGCAAGAGGCTGCCACAGGAAGATGATGGGGAGAAGGGGCAGAGCCACACTGTTGCCTTGGAAAGGTGTGGGGATAGGATAGGAATGGGGATTGTAGCTGCCAGAAGCAAGCTGCATTGGTCCCCCATCAACATCCCTCCAGAATCCTTGTCTGCTAATCACTAATAAGTCAGTATTTGCTTTCTCTTTCCTAAACATGGTTTTTATTCTCCCCTGAGCCAAGATCTCTATGGCAATTTTACAATTGCAAGTCATGGCATGCAGAACACCCTACCCAATAAATTTGCGATCTAGCTGAAACAATTCACCATTTAGTATAACCATTTCTTATCAAGATTTGTGGTAGCTTTTATGGATGCTTTGAAGGCTTTGTTAATGGAATACCATTCACCTGGGTACTCTAGCATGTCTGAATGGTTCATTGGATCACAGTTTTTGCATACATACAGACAATTGGAAATACTATAATGTTCCATCACATAAAGTGAAAATTTCCAATATGGTTCTGAAGTCTAATTTTCTTTCCTATTTTAGGGCCAAATGAACTTGATTGCAATCTGATTATGGATTCTGGAGATACTGTTTATACAGAATTTGACTTTGAAGACCAGGTAATTTTATATATATATGGCCTCTATCTAGGTCGTTTTCTGGTTTATGTAAAAACTGTGCTATACAATTTGTCTGAACAAGGTGGTGGAACTTTAAAGGTACCTTAGCCAAAGGGCTTTTTAAGTGCAATATAAGTAAATCTGTGATACACAGAGGTTGCTTTCTGGTTATGAGAAAAGAGTGAATATTATTGTGGTATTAAGATCCCATATCTGCCATTACTGTACATTGCTGACTTTCCTCCACAAATTTTAAAATGTTGGCAAACATGACAAATAGAATTGTTGGAATGCACTGTAAGTCTACTCTATATTTAAGAGGAGGGAGTAAAACATTTTTCAAAAGAGAGGCATAAAAGTCCAAAACAACAAGTGTGAAATGCAACTGAAACCAAATCATTCTGCCCTTGAAAAAAAGTGTTTTTAAGAATAAAACAACAACAAATGCTTACAGCGTGTTGAAACTAGGTTTTCTACTGATCCCTTCCTATTCACATCTGAAAACTAAATTTTGAAGAAAGAAGGCTACAGAGTGCAAAAAAGTTTCTATACATCTTTCCCCTCTAATCTTCACCTCAACACTGTTAAGGCCACATCTGGAGTACGGTGTCCAGTTCTGGGCTCACTGGTACAACATATGGAGCTGCTTGAGAGAGAAGGGCCACTAAGATGATTAAGAGGCTGAGCCATGTCTCTTGGAAAGGTTGAGTGAGGGGAGTGTTCAGCCTGGAGAAGAGAAGGCTCAGGGGGGATCACATCACTGTGTATGGAAATCTGAAGGGAGTGTACAAAGACAACAGAGCCAGGCTCTTTTCAGTGATGCCCAGTGACAGGACAAGAGGCAATGGGCACAAACTGAAACATGGGAGGTTCCTGTGGCTTGGATACTGTGCTAAGAATAAGCATTATTATTCTTGTTACTGTGCTGTGGGTAAGCAGTAAAAGAATGACTTATAAAAGCCATCTGCCTATCACATGGCCATACCTAAGGGTGATGGTTTTGTATGTTTTGCTTTCTGCCTTTGACTTTTGCATGACTCTGCTTGAATTTTCCTCACAAATACCACAAACACTTCTCTACATTTGTGAGCAGCTTGGCAAAGAATGCTGTTTTGTGGTTCTGTTATCGTTCAATTAAATGCAGTTGTGAATGTTCTCACCTCTTTCCTCATTCACAAAAGATCTATTTTCTTGTGAAATTTAGAGCTAGTGACAAAATCAGGACCAACAAAAGTGAATTTTTATTCAGTATCATCTGTTCGTTCATTGTTTTTCTTTCACATTATTCAGTGCAACACTTTATCCTCACCTACAACGTTATATGTTCTAGCCCTATTCATTTCTATTAATTTATGATTATTTTACTGTTCTTATTGGCTCAGTTATTTCAGTGACTTTTCTTAAGCAGACAGCTCACCCCTGTCTCCAAATCCCATTTTAAATCCCATTCTTTCATAAATCCTTAAAACATTCTCTACCCCAGTAAACTCTCTTAAGTTTCTCATCATCTTTGTCTTAACCATGCTGCTTCTTTGTTGCAGGGTTTAGGCCTTTATGCTCTATAAAGCAGAATGTATATTTAAATCATGTTTGGATTATGTTGATGTTAGATTTTGAATGTTAATGACATTCTAAATACATTCTTTTGGCAGAGTATGAACACTAAAGAAATTATACTCTTGGTTTATCATGTTTGAAATGCTGTTCAAACAATAAGCACAAGTTTTATAGTTATGAAATAAAATTAACTGAAATACATGAAAATTATACTAATTTATAATTTCAAACTACATGGTTCACTGATGATACGTTGCACAGTCCATAAAAGCACTGACTGTAGTTTTGATTGAAGTTGCATGGGATTCTTACATGAGACTTAACAAGATGACTACAATGGAACCTTATTATCTTTGTCAATAGCAAATATTCATTCTGCCAGATGTGGTAGTTAGCTTATCTCATTATTTTGCCAGACCAAGACATTGCCATTCTGGTAAGAGCCCAGTACTGTTTGATAACAGAGGAGAAATGAAGTAAAAACAGTGCTAAAACCCCTGTATATCAGAGATATATAAATATGAAGCAGCTGATCATGACTCTTCAACTGCAAGTTGGTATCTTCGATACTTAGTGACATTTTTAAACATATAAATATTTCTATTACTCATAAATATTTTTATGCCCAATTCATATGAGATGCCTTGTACAAATATAAAGATAACATAAAGAAGAAAGCAATTGCAACCAAAAGCCCTTACCATCTAAATTTTGAAATGGTGCAAGGAAGTATTATATACAGAAACAACAAATGGAGTAGAGATTACCATAAAATCATAATGCCATCTAGCTACCCAGTCTGAAAAACAAAATTAGAAATTACTCTCAGGAAGAAAAGATCAATAACTAAATTCAGGAGTGAGGAACTGTTCGCATTCAAAACTTGAGCTCATTTTGACTGTGGCGGTGATTTAATACTCCAGTGATTTACCACATGCTGTTTACGAATTGTGTGAAGCATCAACAACCTTTACTCAGAGAATCTCAAGTGGAAAAGGAATGCGTGTCTGGATACAAATGTGTCATGCAGTGATGTTATTGCATAGGAAATCTGTCATGAGAATGTGGGGGATAAGAAGGCTGGTTTCTAAGCAACCTTGCACAGCTGAGCTGCTAAAAATGGCTGAGTTTTAACAGAACATCTTGGTAGTCACTGAACAAGAGGAGTTGGGGGTTAGAGCAGTGCACAACATGTACTGAAGACAAAACCGCAGCTGGGGATGAGTATCACTTGGCATAGCTGAAATGGACGTATGCAGATACCTTTGCATTTTCTCACTTGTGGAATGAGCCAGGAAAATCTCCAATATAAACTAAGCCAGCAAAGAAGTATCCGAGTTCTTCAGATGTACACTACTTCTTCCAGAATAACCTCTCTTACATGGAGAAGGAGTGGTGTGGTTCCAACTCAACTATCATCAGCTCATCTAGGAGTGCTCCAAAATATGGCAAAGTGCTTTGAGAAATACTTAGTACCTGTTGTTGAAACAGTGCAAAGCAACACTAATGCAGGCTAAGATCTGGCTTTTCTGGAGGAGTATGCAGGGGAAATTGAATTAAAAATAACTCAGGAAAAGCTTGAGTTTTGTATTGTACATTTTATAAATGAACGTTCAGTTAAATTCATGTAACTAAATTAAAAGCAAGTTGATTGTTTTCTACCTGCCATGCATGAATGCTTCAAGAACTAGAATGCTTGTAATCACAAAGTCCCTACAGCACTGAAAGGCAGGAGGGAAATACCTATTTTTAAAAAAAAAAAAATCCTCAAATCACTATTAACTGTTTTTCTGTTCTCAGATCTGTAGCTGGCTGTATTATAGACGGAATAAGCTAGAGTTTTTTTTAGAATGACTGCCCAAAATACATTCTTCCAAAAAATAAAAATAAAAGTACCTCTCATTGAGAATGCCTTGTGGAAGAACCAGCCAACATTTCACATGGTAGCAATTTCTATAGCCTTTTCTGGAGTCATGATTACACTACTCATGACTTGATTGAAAACATAAAAGAAAACTGATAAGTTTCAGATATTTTCACCCATATTAAGATATCAGGAATATGTTTTGGGCCACTCATTTTTGGGTGCAATAGCGTAGATTCTAATGAGGGATGTCCTGTGCTTTATAGAATATTCTCAATTTGCAGAACTCATTATCGTGACTAGTGTCTGTTTGGTTTAATAAGGACTGTCTTTTGCTGCTGGAATGGTCTCAAGTGTGATACGGGTTTTCACTGCTCACTGTGCTAATTTATACTTACCATTCAATTTCTCAACTTTGCCAGAGAGACTGTCAATATAATGCCACTTGTTTCCAGAGATCAGACAAGTTTTATCTTTAAGAATTGGATTTTTAATTAGAAACCTACCATTTGGCTTATTTCAAGTGCATTCAGACCAAAAGGGAGTATTGAAAAATTGGCATCGGTGAATCCTATCAAAGAGTTCCAGAAGAAAAGAGCATCCAATTATTTTCTTGTGAAAACAAGCCTTTCAAGACAACCTTAGCTAGTCTGAGGAACATTTAGACTAATTAGAAAAAAAGTAATGACATACAGTCAGATGCCTATAGAGTGAATACACTCCTGAACAAGTGCTTATGGAATTGATAACTTTAAAATTTGGGAAACATGAAAATCAGGTAAACTTCAAGTAGAAACCTTAAAAATAGACATAGTCTCTTCTAATATTTCAGGGGGTGGGGGGCTATATTTCACATCTACAAAACATGGCATTTTTGTGCCTCAAAGGAAGTTACCAGTTCATAACTGAGGCATTTCCATGTCCTTCCAATGTCAGACTGCATTTACTTATGGCAATTAAGTAAATGCAATGGCATATGCAAAGGAGAGACTGCCTTGCCTCCCCCCCCCCCCCAAGGGTGTCACACAC